TTTTACCTGTCAAATGTTCAAATCTACCCGCCATTGGCTGGGGACAGGTGTTCATTTTGGACCCTGTGTGAAAGTGTGTGTTAGTTTGTGACAGGTCAGTGGTATCTGACCTGTCTCCGTGTCCTCTGTAGATCATCATGGTGCGTCTCCAGAGGGTCACCTTCCTGGCCCTCCACAACTACCTGGGCCTCACCACGGAGCTCTTCAACATGGTACACCTCCCTCTCATATCTCTACATGTCTAATATCTCTACATGTTAACACACAGTCTCCCTCTTATTGCTCTACATCTCTAATATCTCTACATGTTAACACACATTTTGGGCCTGTGTGTGTGTCTGTCTCACTTTGTGTGTGTGTGTTACAGGAGAGCCAGGCTATCCCCCTGGTGTCAGTGTCCCAGGTCCTGGGTGAAGTCCACCCCGGCAGGGTGCTCAGACGCCAGGCCTCGCAGACCGAAGACCTGGCCACTGACAAGACAGATGCAGGTACACACACCGCTGTTTATTATTTCTTTATGATTCATTATTCATGCACTGAGCGTTCGACATGCATGTATCGTATCATGACACCATTATTTATTTATTGTTTACTCAAGTTTCGCCTGCATGTCTTACTATTTACTGTCGAGTCATTTAGCAGACTCTGTTATACAAAGTGACTTACAGTGAATAGATACATGTCATTAAAGGAGCAGTTTACCTTAAGAAAGCCTATGGGTTAGACTGCTGACACCGGGGATCGAACCCACTGACCCAGTACCTTGAGTGGAGGGCCCTGACCAGCGACAACAAGTTTGTGACCGGAAGGTCGCCGGTTCAATCCCTGGACGGGCAGAAAAATTCTGGGTGGGGAAAGTGAAAGAGCAGCGTTTCCCCTTCCCTCATTACCACCACTGAGGTGCCCTTGAGCAAGGCCCTTAACCCCACCTGCTCCAGAGGAGCTGCTCAGTGGCCAGCAGGTCTGTGGTTATAAAGGGCAGCTTTCCAGGTGTGAATGTGTAACTGTGTGAATGTGATCAGGGCGTTGCTGCAAAAAAGAGGCTTCCTCTCAGTGAAACTTTCCTGAATAAATAATGGTTAAAAAAAACAAAACAAAAAAACCCACTACATTATGAATAAATAATGATTAAAAAAAACGTAAGTATTAAGTAAGTATTAATCCTAACTTTGACTAATGCTCTGTAGGAGAAGCTAAGAAGTCAAACACCTTTGAGACCAAGTGCAGGAAGTCCAGATCTCTCTCCACACCGATGGCAGTTACAGGTACGCAACACAGACACGGAAAACACCCACAACACAGCTTAACAAATCACAGGAGCATTTAAACTTATATTGTAACTTAAGTGCGCAGTGTGGTTTTGGTAATCCTACAACTATTGTGTGATACTTTAACATTTAGAAGTCTAATCTGTCCTAGACGCAATATCTCATAAAGAAATTGCCGCAACAGCAGACAAGCCGACCCATTTTTGTGATAGTTGGTCATTGTGTCGACTTGATGAAACGTAGATATGGCAACATGGAGTTGAGTGGGCAGTAGATATATAGACATGTTGATATATTGAGCTGTAGATAACTCATTCTCTCAGTGAGAAATCCAACGTGTGTGCGTATGTGTGTGCGTATGTGTGCGTGTGTGTGTGTGTGTGTCGTGATCAATACTAGATTGTTGTCAGGAGATAGTAACACCAGTTGGTGACTTCTCCAACGCATACTTGAACAAACTTGTTTGTTCAAGTTGGGTGTGTGACTGAGGCTGATAATGTTTTAGGGTGTGTTTTGTACCAATATTGCCTCTTGCCATTGTACAATTAATGAGACATTTCTTTTCTATAACGTGGTGTGAGCATAGCGCAGCATATTTTTGAGTAAATTATTAACCAACAACAATATAAGCCTACATATTTAGCATTTTACATTACTCCAATCTTAGTGCCTTTGGGCTACTATTAGGCCTTACAATGTATCGCCATCCACTGGCGGGAATACCAAAAAAATCAAAACAAACTGACATCTAACACATTTTATTTGCCTTTTTCTCAGTTAGTCTCTTTTGGTGGTCTTGGATTTTCCTTTAATTGATGTTGGTTTCTGGGTATGTGACGTGTTCCTCATCTCCTTGCAGTGGACATGACAACGGACCTGAACCGGGTGTACGAGCGGGCACGTGTCCTGAAGGAGGAGGGGAGGCCGCCGTCGCCGCCCCTGGTCCAGAAGGTGTGTGACCCAGGAGTCAGAGTGGTGGAGGCTGGGGGGACCTGGAGGGGCTAGAAGGCTGGATGGAAGAACGGAGCGACAGAAGCTGGTAGAAGTGATGTGTAAAGTTTCTCTCGTGCTTCTCACACTTCTCTCTCTCTCTCTCTCTCTCTCTCTCTACCCCCCCCCCCCCCCCCCCCCCCCCCCCCCCGCCTCTCTCTCCCCTCCTCTCTCCAGTCTATCCTGAAGAAGACTGTTACCATGCTTCACACTCCCTCAGCGGTGTACCACTACAGTGAGGATGGAGGAACCTCCACCCCCTCCTCAACGCCCTCCTCCTCCACCTCCTCCGCCAGCCCCTCCTCCACCTCCACCACCCCGGGCCAGGTCCAACACAACAAGATCAACACCATCTTCCAGGCAGCCAAGAAAGACCTGCTGAAGGCGATCCAACTACAGGTATCATGGCAACAAGAACACACAAATGTCTGGCTCCATGGCAACCAGAACACAACCCAAGGAGGTTGCTGGGAGTCAACCTCCTTGGCTACTACGCTACATCATATATATATATATATATATATACCAAGGAGGTTGCTGGGAGTCAACCTCCTTGGCTACTACGCTACATCATATATATATATATATATGATGTAGCGTAGTAGCCAAGGTAGTAGCCAAGGAGGTAATCCTGTGTCCATATCATCAACTACCGATTATCGATATCCATCTCTTTTATGAGTCCTATTAGGTTTATAACCTGCTATAATCAGTGTCCATGTTTTAGTGTGTGTGTTGTACAGGAAGTGCGTGAAGTGACGTTCTATGTAGCAGGTCTTCTCCACACAGGGGCTTCATGTCCCGGTTCATCCTCTCTCTCGTGTCCCAGGACCCCAGTCTGCTGGAGGGGAGGGTGACCCTACGCCAGGTGAAGTCTGGATGTGTGGTGGCCAGCCAGGGAGACCAGGTCAGCCCCCCCCCCCCCCCCCCCTATACGTCCATACATACATGCATTCATAACATTTATGTGTTCATAATAATGTTAAATAACTAATGTTTTGTAAAAGCGTTAGTAATATACATGTCTGAAGATACTAGACAGTGAGACATGGAGACAGCATCAAGACATTTCATTTGATGTGCGTTGTGGAAAAAGTTGTGAAAGATCCTGTCTAGCTCAACTGGTAGAGCAGGGCATTAACACTGGCAGGGTTAGTGGTTAGATTCCCACTGTGGCCTACAAGAATTTATGCGCTCATGGTGCATGTATTTAAAAACTATACCTGCTTGCTAGTGCACCTGAGCCCGGTTGCATGAGGATGTCTATGCTCATATTTCAATTCTACTCTATTTCTGTCTGTCTCTCCCCCCTCCTCCCCTCTCTCTCTCGCTCTCTCTCTCTCACCCCTCCGTCCCTCTCTCCCTCCCTCCCCCCCCTCCAGGACGTGAGCGTGGAGTTTGTGATCTCCGGTGTGCTCCACGTGTACCAGCGGATGATCGACCGCGAGGAGGACAGCCTGCTCTTCGTCGCGCACCCCGGGGAGATGGTGGGACACCTGGCCGTGCTCACCGGGGAGCCCCTCATCTTCAGCGTGCGCGCCCACCGAGACTGCACCTTCCTCTCCATCTCCAAGGCCCACTTCTACGAGTAGGCGTCACACTTACACGTACGCGTACATACACGGGCATACGAACACACACACATACACACTCACTCATATACACTCACTTCTATGAGTATGCATGTGCACACATGGAGCCATAGATAAACACAACATGGTAAGCTAAATGGTATAGAACAGCTGGATCCAGATAGGTGTAATCTAAAAATGACACATACAGTAAGTACACCAAATATCAATGCTAGAAAACCAAGTGAAACACCTGGTTCAGAAGGAACCACAGAAACAGCATCCCCCTCTACTGGTGCAACGCCACTTCCCTGACGCCACTAAATAGCGGGGTTTCGAACTTTGCAACCCCAGGACTTGAAGACGGACGCTCTAACCGCTGACCTGAATTGTCACGGCTCGCACATAAAGGTGAACCCAAGTGCAGCGATCCGAGGTTTGGTGCAAAAGGAAGCTTGACTCAAGGAAACAAGGCAGGCAGAAACAAACCAACAACCAACAAGGAACCGACAAACTGGGGCAGAAACTAGAGAATTGCTAATTAACACGGGCGACAAACTAACAACACAAAGGGAAAAACAGATAGTGAGTTGGGGCAGGATCATTACATAAATGACCAAATGAGGAATATGCCTGTTGCTTTACCCTGAAGGACAGCTGTTCATCTGAGGTTATCCCCCCCCCCCCAGGATCATGCGGGAGGACCCCAGGATGGTTCTGAATGTGGCCCACACAGTGGTGAAGAGGGTCTCAACCTTCGTCCGGCAGATCGACTTCGCCCTCGACTGGATGGCCCTGGAGGCCGGCCGGGCCGTCTACAGGTGGGAATGGAACCGCTAACCCTGGCCGTGTTGATGTCTTGCTCTTATAGTGAGAGATAAGCTATACGCACATCGGCAGTGGGTGCTGGGTCAAGAAAGAGCGGAACATGTTTTGAAGGTAGAACCCGCACACCAAGATATCTATAAATTTGGACTTCTTCATTAATTAATCAACAACGTTTCGATCCACGATGGGTCTTCGTCAGGTCAAATGTTTAAGGTCCATTTGAGCTACACAGGGAATCTAACCCCTAACCCTGACAGTGTTGATGCCTTGCGCTACCAGTTGAGCTACACAGGGAGTCAAACCCCTAACCCTGACAGTGTTGATGCCTTGCTCTACCAGTTGAGCTACACAGGGAATCGAACCCCTAACCCTAGCAGTGTTAATACCTTGCTCTATAGTTGAGCTATACAGGGAATCAAACCCCTAAGCCTAGCAGTGTTAATGCCTTGCTCTACCGGTTGAGCTAGCTAAAATACACACTTGGCACGTGATTAAACTGAACTGGATCAAACTAACACAATTGGTATTCTCCGCCCCCAGACAGGACGACCGGTCTGACAGCACCTTCATCGTGCTGAGCGGCCGTCTGCGGTCCGTCATCGCCAAGGATGACGGGAAGAAGGAGCTGGCGGGGGAGTACGGCCGCGGTGACCTCATCGGCGTGGTAGGTGCTCCCTCTGACCGCTGCTTTATTAACCATCATTACACGGCTTTGTTGAATACTCGATTCCGATTGGTCAATTACTGCGTTGTACGGTCTGTTATTTCTGAATACCAGACCCCTGCTATGAATAACAGACCGTTGCTATTTCCCACTGTAGAATCTAACAGACTATTTTTGAGCGGAAGCAATAAAATCATGTTTAAATCAATAATATCATTTTTTTGTTGTTATATTTTGTGTCAAATTATTGATTTTTTTAGTAAGTAGCAGTGTAATAAGTGGGAAAATTTACAGCCGGTCATTATTGCAAAATTTAAAAAAAGTATACAATAATTATTAAAAATATTATTAAGAAAATATATATTAAAAAAATTATACAATTATTTATTTGGGATATTTTTGCATGAATTGCATTTTCAATGTGAATATGAATGCCGAAAAATAGGTGGACAAATAGTTGAGGTGGACATTATCAACATGCTACATAAATTAAACTATACATTTACTGACCATTATACCATATATTTATTGACCTATTATACACAAGTATAATCTAATCTGACATAAAGTCCAGTGGAATATGGGTGTTTACCATGTGTGTGGCGCCCCCAGGTGGAGGCTCTGACCCATAAGAACCGGGCCACCACGGTGCATGCGGTGCGGGACTCGGAGCTGGCCAAGATGCCAGAGGGAGCGCTGAACTACATCAAGCGACGCTACCCCCAGGTGGTGACGCGTCTCATCCACCTGCTGGGGAAGAAGATCCTGGGGAACATGCAGCAGGTCAATGCCCCTCTGGCAGGTACTGTCACTTCCCCTGTCCCTTTTTTCCTTGTTTGGTGGTGTGTGTGTGTGTGTGTGTGTGTGTGTGTGTGTGTGTGTGTGTGTGTGTTATGTTTTTTGCTGTTTTTACATTGGTTTAACTATTCCTGCTTTTTTTATGAAGTTTACTTATTGTGTCATCTGAGCTTATCTGCATCTCACACAGATTTAGAGGCTCTGCTCTCAGAGGTTTACCTTAAGAATCGACTCCTTTACCCCCAGTCTACCTGTATGCCTCCTTTAGCAACATGCCCTAACCCCTACCTGCTCCTCTGTGACCTGTATCAAAAACTGGATTAAACACTGTAAGACACTATAGATTAAAACTCTGAATTAGAGTTAAAGAGTTCCCACTAAATGACTAGATAGTAAAACGTATAAAAAGAAATGTGCTTCATGAATTCAATCCCTTGTTCTTATCATGATGTTTTGCTCCCAGCCCGTGGTCTGGGTCTCCAAACCCCCAGCAGTAAGTGGGACTCTGGAAACCCGGCCTCCAACCTCTCCACCGTGTCCATCCTGCCGGTCTCTGATGAGGTCCCCCTCACCGCCTTCACCCTGGAGCTGCAGCACGCGCTCAGTGGCATCGGTACACGCACACATGCACGCACACACACACATGCGCACACGCACGCACACACACACACACGCACACGCACGCACACACACACACAGGCACGGCACGCAAGCACACACATGCCCACAGGCACGCCGCTCGAAACAGGGCACTATTAGTAAAAGATAAATGTTCAGCGAGTATCTCAGTTACAACAAGGTTGAGCTAGCAACACATTTGTGTGTTTATGTGTGTGGTATTTATTCAGACTGGGACATCCAAGGTGGAGAAAGTCCATTCTCCTTTAGTTTTTAGCTGGGCCGACTTTGGGACTTGAAAGCGCCGAGTTGCTAGTTGCTAGGACGTTGCTAAGGTCCGCCCTCCTGGCTGGAGTAGTAAACTACCGTCTATGGACGTGACTGATTGTTTTCCAGGTCAGTGATGCTTGCTTGTGGAACTCGGCCTTGTTCCTGACCCTCCTGGGTATTACTGTTTAATTGGAACTCACCCCTTCTATCGTTTTTGTTTTTTTCTGTGTTTTTTTGGGGTGCAGGTCCCACTCTGCTGCTGACCAGTGACATCATCAAACAGCGCCTGGGCTCTGCTGCGCTGGACAGGTAGGACATGTGACGAAGTGATGAAAAACCATAGTAACCAAGTTCTGATTGGCTAAGCAGTGTGCAGTGTGACACAAATCCACACATGCCGTTGTTGTTGTTGTAGAGATTGAATAAAAATGTTTATCCAAAGCAACTTGTAGCTGTAGGAATAGCAATCACACCATATGTCCATAACTCGTTGGTTAGGGAGTATGTACATATTATTTTTCTCCTCATATTATGTTGGCTTACTTATTCATCACCCCACCCCCCCAACATCCACCTTACAACTAATCACAGTCACATGTCCTACAGCTTAGTGCTCTGATTGGTCTCCTCAGCGTGCATGAGTATCGTCTGTCCAGCTGGCTGGGGCAGCAGGAGGACATCCACCGCATTGTGTTGTACCAGTCGGACCCCAGCCTGACGCCCTGGACCCAGCGATGCATCCGCCAGGCCGACTGCATCATCATGGTGGGCCTGGGGGAGCAGGAGCCCACCGTGGGGGAGGTGAGGAGTAGGAGTGGGGGAACAGCAATCCATTCACTTAAGTATCGTTATTTATTTATTAATTAAATATTTTAGGTCAGTGGTTCCCAACCTTTAGGTGTACCACTAAATTGTCATTGAGAGATTCTGCGGACCACCTCATATGCAAACGGTTAAAAAATGAGCAAAGAGTGCCAGTGCCCCCTTTATGCACAATTATTACTGCAAGAAGGCCATGGCCAGTGGTAAATAGTGGAAAGAAAAAGTCAGCAATGCTGCATATGCTCAGTGTGTTTATTTAGCGAACACAAATGTACACAAAAATACCAATGGAAAACATTACAATGGAAAACATGATGGAATGCACAAAGCAACACTATTTTTTAAATAATACCATTTCTGACCAGTCAGGGCATCTCTTTACTGATTGGCTTGGGAATCCATCTTGGATGTCATCAATTCTTCACCTCAATGGTGAAGAAAGTAGCAGAGACAGAGGGGATGTAGTTTTGGGTCGTTTATTCTCCAAATCTTGCTCTCTTCTGCTCTTTTCTGCTTTAGGAACTATGATCAACCTGTACTATATTTTAAACCTCTAGAAGGCAGCAAACAACATAAAATAGTCTTGTGTGAGACGGCCTTTGGTCACTGGCTGGTTGTCCCTCCAGTTGGAGTGGCTGTTGTTCTGATTGGCTGCTTGTTCCCCAGCTGGAGCGTATGTTGGAGGGCAGCGCAGTGCGGGCCCAGAAGCAGCTGGTTCTGCTGCACCGGGAGGACGGACCCCCGCCCCGCGGCACCGCTGAGTGGCTCAACATGAGGAGCTGGATCTGCAGACACCTCCACCTGTCCTGCCCCCGCAGGGTCTTCAGTAAGAGGAGCCTGCCCAAACTGGTACACACACACACACACACACACACACACACACACATATACACACACACACACACACATACATATACACACACACACACACACACACACACACACACACATATACACACACACACACACACACACACACACACACACACATACATATACACACACACACCTGTCCTGCCCCTCAGGGTCTTCTATAGTGCCTCAAATGATTCTGAAACTGAAAAGTCTGTTTCCATGTGTGTGTGTGTGTTTCAGAGGGAGTTGTACCAGCGTGTGTTTGACAAGCCTCCCGACCGCCACTCTGATTTCTCCCGCCTGGCTCGTGGTCTGACGGGCAACAGCATCGCCCTCGTGCTGGGAGGGGGAGGGGCCAGGTACCGCCACCACCACCCTCTCTTCATCTCAGACTCTACTACATCTGATCATGAATGACTCAATAACTCACAGTTACACGCCTTTATCAGGATATGATCTCTGCGTCTATGTATTTATATTTAGCTATTCTCAATGGCTAGACCAGATCTCAACTTAAGTCACGACCTGAAAATGTAATGCATTTACCAATATTGCAGTAATGAACAATGCCTTCATGTACTGTTAAAAACATTGAGCGGACAAAAAGCTGCAACAATTGGGGCTAAACTCAATGAAATAGTAAGCCATTGAAACATGAATTAACATTGAACGATTAGTTAATTCATGGGCTTCTTTCTAAAGATTATGGTTTGGCATATACTCTACGACCCACTCAAAATGCGACCCACTCATGAAATAAGTTGATAACTCACACAGTTCCACACCTTTTTCCTGCATTTATAGCTCTGTATCATCTAGATCAGCAATCACTTTTAGAGTCAAGCAGGGCTCCGACATTGCCATTATCGATGAATCTATCAATTACTTATAATCACTTAGTCTATAAAATGTCAAGAATATTGGCCGTTGGCCATCAACTGTTACTGCAGCCCAAGGTGATGGTTTGAGTCTCCTCACTTTATCTTCCAAGCAGCCAAGAAAAACTGAATTAGCACTTAGGTTCCTGACCAAAAAATGATTTGTGGATTGATTGATTAACCATGTTGGCTCCAGAATCAACCCATCGGTTTTTGTACTTTTAGAACTTTTTATGCAGGTGTGTTTATTTGACAATTACCTCATTCCTGCCCATCCCTGTTGACTTCCTGTCTGTATCCTTTGCTCTTCTTCTTCTCCTCACTGCTCCAGCGAGTCCTGGAGGTTTAGTCAGGTGGGTACCCTCCTCAACGCCACAAGGCCCCGCGCTGAGAGCTTTGTTAGCTGTACTAGCCCCTAGCTGGAGCCCCTAGCCCCCCATCCCCAACCATTCTTCTTATGCCTGGCACACCTTAGACAATTTGATATTTATCTTAATCTACCCAACGA